TTAGTCGTTTTGCCAGGGCTTTATTCTGTGAGAGTAGAGCTGCGGGCTGGGCTCACATAATAAAATTTGCACCAAATTGGAACCGTTTTTAACAGTGTCTTTACTTGACCTTTAAAATATATAATGTACACTTGCAAATGAAAGAAAAAGAATGTATTTACATTTACTGCCTATGTTGGCATAATATATAAACATATCAGGACAAGTCAATCCCACACTCTTTTATACGGTAACTATAACATTTACAGTTAAGCGTGGTCGTCACTTTACTGTGATTCGATAAGTAACACATCGTTTTGTTGTATGATTTACAGAATATGACATAAAGAATACAGTTTAATATGCGATAGTGTTCGTTTGCAAAAAGAACACAAAACATTGATCTGGAAACCTCGTCAAATTGGCTCTGAGACAACGGTGACCTCAAGCAAACAACTCCCGATTAATTTGGCAAATGTTTTTGTCTCTATAGTGATGATAAGATCAAACCCTGGATTCAGCTGTTCCTCCACAAACAAGAAATGCCAATGTTGTTTTTCCTTTTCCTGATTTCTCAAAGAGATTAGCTAGGCACCTCTTTTACTACTTTGACAGGTGGGCAGTTCCCTAATCGAGGATCGTCTATCATTTAGTTAGGATAGGGTTATGTTCCAAAGAAAATTAAGCCTGATATATTACGAGCAAATTATAAAAAAAATCATTTTCATATGTATTAGGTGAGTAAATTTATACAGGTTGTTTGGGAAATATCTAATATTTAAAATTCAACTCTTGAAATCCTGTTCATTGATAGATTTTTCCTACGATAAATGTGCTTAAATTGTGCCATTGGCATTTAGCTTGGAGTAATGGGGAAGTCCTGGTCTTGGGATCGATCAAATTGCATTCAGCTTTCTCTATTTTTGTCCAAAGACGGCGCTAAATCTGAAAATTTTTCTAGGCTCTTTTAGTTTGATTTGAGATTCTGTAGCGAAGTCATTAAACTATTTTACATTGACCGTTTCTTGGAATTTGAGACCTAGCCATGCATTATAAGGAATAATTCCTTTAGTCAGGCGGGATCTCATTTGATTGCAGAAAATATATTCTTTGAAAGCAGGTCTTGATACCTCGGCTGCAACAAAGATTTTCAAAAGAAGCGACTCTCGGAAATGCATCTCTTTAAAATCAAGGACAACTTTCAAAATATAGGCCCTAAATCTCAGGGCTTCAAAAAATTAGGGTTAAAAAGAGAAATATGCCGTCAGTATTACGGGATGTAATTCAAAACCTGAAACAAAGCTACTTTTCTTTCATTAAAGTCAGTTCAAACATTAATAGTATTTCTTTCCATTGAATAATTTAATTGTTAATATAATATGGTATAATTGAGTAAAAATGGAAGTTGTTGAAACAGACCAGGGAGGTAAAAAGCGTCGTGGAAAGGAACTGGCCACCCTACCACACAATGTCATGGCTCAGGACGATGCGCCCCCAACAGCACGTTCCCAAACGTTCGATTTCGAATACGGGACTAATCTTTACCTTTTTATAAAGGATTATTTGACTGCCTTGTCGAGATAAGTATAAATATTACATTCGTTTTTTTAATAAGAAACAGGTTATAAGAAACGATAGGCTCAATTTTTCGAAAGTTAAGAAACAACCCTACCCAAATTCTAAAAAGCTTTTCGAGTTGTCATTCGAAACGGTCTTGACATTGAACATCACTGTATATTGCAACACTACACTTGACATGCAGTTTGTATTCATTCTCAGAAAATTGCACACCCAAGATGCTCCCATTTAAAAATTTGTTCTGACTTTAACTTGACATTTATGAAGTTCAAAAAACTTTACTGTTTACAGATTTCATCAAAGCTAGTCATTCTAGGAAAACAAAATTTCTTCATCACTTTGTTAGTTTATCTCTGAATGAGAGTGAACCATTTACTTTACCTTAAACGTTTAAAAAATCGTTACCTAAGAAATTTGAAGAAACATCTAAGAGACTTTTGAAAGCAAAATGGCCAGAAAATTTAAGAAACTGCCTACCAGAACCGGGCCTTAGTTTCTTATAAAGAAATGCATGCATTATTTTAGACATATTTTAAAAAAAGGAAGTGTGTATGAAAACCTCGCTTTCATGTTATGTTATCAAGTTGCGACCGTAGACTTTCGCCTTTCTTCTTCCAGTATAAGAATGCTCAATTAAGAGACCTGGGTTCTAATTATGTCATGTCATTCTTTTTTGGAGATTTCTTTAGTCACATGAAGCTTATGACTACATCCCTGTGAAACAAAGCTTTTCATCATTTATGTGAAGACGGACGTAAAAAGGACTGTGTCTTTCAACCTTTAGAAAGGATCAAGCAAGTGGGAAAATCTTGATGAGATGGGAAAAGAGTCAAGAAACAATGCGTTCGTCTTACGTCACCCAAAGGTACTTCTCCCTCAGAAAATCTGCGAAGGATGCAGTGTTTTATTTGATTGCGATTTCCGGATTAAGGTTTTCAATATATTCGGCGCCAACTCATCCGTTGATTTTATTTGTTCTTGATTTCCTCTACAGTTTGCACAATGGCGACACAAAGTATACGTACCCTAAGGAGGCCATGCTGCATGTGTGATGATGATATTAACAACAAATAGGTCAAGTAAGTTACAAAATTCTCACGAAATTATGGCACGAGTACTAAAGACATATATACATTTCTGTCTTTCATCCACCGATCAGCGCTTTCGTCTCAAGCTCGACGCGCACATGATTATCTTCGCCTCGAGATGAAGTCTGAAGTATTGATCAACAGCGAAAGTATAGACGGAAAGTAAAGTGTGTTTGATGCAAGAAAGAAATGAACGCAGGGCATGCCCCCCCCCTACTTTTTGCAAAACAAGAGAGCTTCTTTCAAAATCTTTTGTTGTGATTTCTAAATTTTCCCTGGACAAGCCCCCTCCCCCCAACTTTTCATCCTGCCTCGGAGCCCATGGAACACTGAGAATTTTAGAAGCATTATAAATCAAAGCATGAAGGATATACCATCTTGGAATACGTTGTTGAATATCACTGTCTTTAAAAGATTTTCGAAAAAATTAAGAATAGTAAGCCTGAACTGAAATTTACTGGTTCTTACAAAAACAAAAGAGTGTAGTGATAAGGGGAGTCGCAGGTTCAGCACTGTTACACAGTTCACCAAGGGAATTGTCTAGTTTCCATACTGCTCGACCTGATAGTCATAAATAAGCATGATTAATAGTCATAAATTAGTATGATTAATTATTTCAAGTAAAGGGTTAGGGTTAGGGTTAGGGTCAGGGTTAGGTTTAGGGTTAAGGTCAGGTTTAGGATTATGGTTAGGGTCAGGGTTAGGTTCAAGGTAAACTAATTACGTCATCAGGTCGAGCAGTATGGAAACTAGACAGCTCCTACACCAAGAATGGCCAAAACACTCAGCAGGGAGGGGGCTCAGCAGGGAGGAGGCAAAACTCAAATCCAGTCGCGCAACTGTTAATTTGGATGTCCTCGAAAGCTAGCATATCCAGAGTGTTTGGGTTTTGCAGTTACGCGGTTTTGCCCGTATTTCGACTCGGTTTTTCGGTTTCTACCTTATAATCTATCGGTTTTGTGGTTTTAAATTATGCCACGTTGAACAGTTTTTGACGTTATTTGGGTCGGTTTTCCGGTTTGAATGGCAGCAATGTTTGGTTTCCGGATTTTCGTATAAAATATTTACGAAGAGCATTGTCATCACAAGGCGCGAGAGGTATGATAAACAAGATAACTATGTACATTTTTCAGAGTGATTCATGCAATGGTCATGAAAATAAGTGTTGACAACTACATCTCGGATGGTAACTACTGAACTGGGTGTCATTAAAAAATTCAAACAATCAATACATTTATACATCGTGAATACTAATGTTGTGGACATAGCCGTGCATAGCGTCTGGTTGGCTCTGTGAACCACAGGGCCGTCACTAGGGGAGGGGAAGGAGGGGTGCTCCGAACCAATTTGCCGACCAAGTTGGTGAACCATCCTTTATTTGCCGATGAATCAGAAAATTTGCCGAAGAAGAACCCCTACATGATTAAACACCCAATAGAAACGATCAACATTTTTGCCAAAAGAGGGTGGTCACGACAATCGTTTCGGGTGACAATTATGTTTATGGCGGAGCTTGCTCCGTGTACGCTTCTTCGCAAGAGGACTACATTAAAATCATTCCGAACAACGTAAATGTTAGATCACAGTTTACGGTTAGATTGTTTCGTTGAAAGGAGTTTCGTGGAGTATTTTAACGTGAAAAACAAGCTTGAGTTATTAAAACAGTTGATGTTTTGCTCTTGCCTGCCGGAGGAATAGCCAAAAAGTAAAAAGATCCGGTGCCGGAACAATAACCACGGCGAAAATATTTTATGCATTTTCTGGTCATATTTAGAATGTCATATTTCAAAAATTTTCTCGCTGCCAACCAGGGTGGCAGCTTCACTAAACCATTGACCAATATAAACATTCCCCCCTCACTTGCAATGAAGTTTCCCCCGGCTCTTTCAATGGTATCAATGTTCTGATCTCAGCTGCCCCGCAATCAATATACCTGGCTGCTCAACCCTTGAAAGTAAAGGAGTCTGGAACACAGGCTACTCAACCCATGGTCGGAAAAAACATCGACCCTCATCATGTTCAAATTTCAACAATTCTGTAATTTAAATTATTACATGAAAAGAGCAACTAAGAAATCTCATAGAGTCTCCCCCCCCCCACCGTTAAAATTTTACGACTACAACCCTTCCTAGAAATGTGGGCAAAGTTTTTGTCGGTTTATTGAGTGTCTTTGCCCCCCCCCTCTCCAAGAAAAATGCTCAATTTACACCACTGTAGGTAACAATGACTAGGTCTTGCTGTTTGGGAACACAGATGAAAATTCAAAAAGTATTGAGGAATGCACATATCCTCACTTTCATTTGATTCTTAGCGATATAAGATAGTAGATATTCACGCAGAGAAAAACGAATTGCGTAATTTCCATTCTTTGATAACTGTAACCCTCTAAAACTAAAAAGCAACTTTCCAACAACTTACTCAAACATATCGTTGAAAACTAATTAAACGAACGAACACACCCAAGATTATAAATTAACCAATCAAAATTAAGATAATGTTAATGCGTTAAGATTAATTATACATCTACAGTTTAAGATCGCACATTAGCTCAGCAACAATTCAACTAGATTTCAATACAAATGCTAAAGGGAAATATAACGTGTCATTAGTGCATAAAACAATGTAATGTGACCGTGGGATAATTTTTCCCTCGCAGCGCATGCTTTGCAACATACCCCCCTTCTTGATCACTAGTGATCAAGCAAGAGTTTGGTTTTGCATCGAGCGTCCTTGGCTGCAGCGCGCATGGGTCGTCGTATCAATCTTTCTTCACTTATTTTCTCTTCACTCACTTTACTCTCGATTCCCTTCCTCTCCATTCCTGACTGGTGTTCTTTTTCTTTCCCATTCTCTACACAATCAATATCAGTAATAGAAATTTCAAGTGGATAGACTTTTTGAACTGGTCTATTTAAAATTTGTGTCTTACCTTCTCTACCAACAATCCTTACTGAAACGCCTCTTACTTTTCCATCCTTACCAACTATTAAATCTTCGATAATTCCCTTTTTCCATGATAATCTTTTTGCACCATCTTCATGAACCAGTACAACTTCACCTATTTTGATAGCATTTGGTGCACCAGTATTCATTTTGTGACTTTCACGTAGATTCACTAGATATTCCTTTCTCCATCTGTTCCAGAAATGTGTTAACTTCTTTTTAAGATATAAAAACCTTTTGGACAACTCATCATTAGAATGCTGATGATCTAAAACAGATGTTAGCTTGAGGGAAAATGGGGTCAGCCTTTGTCCTAAAATCAAATGTGATGGTGTCAGTACTTCACCAATTTCATACTGATATGTCAATGGCCTTGAATTAAGTGTACATTCTATTTCAGTTAGAACTGTGTGTAGTTCATCTTGTGTCAATCTAGCATTGCCTAACACCTTACGCAAACACCTTTTCACACTTCTTACCATACGCTCAAAGATACCACCTGCCCATGGACATCTTGGCAGGTTGAACATCCATTTAATTCTATGATTCTCCATATAACCTGCAACTTCAGTTTCATTAAAAAATTTGCTCAACAGTTTTGCTGTCATTTTAAATGTTTTGGCATTGTCTGACACAATTAATGAAGGCGTGCCTCGTCTAGAAGCAAAGCGTTTAAAAGCATTAAGAAATGTTATGGCACTCAGATCACAAGCTAGTTCAAGGTGTATACCCCTTGTTATACAACAAGTAAATAATACAATATAAAATTTGGCTGTGCTGTTCCTTGCACCCTTACAATACAAAGGACCAGCAAAATCTACACCTATTTTGCTAAACGGTGGCGCTTCATTCACTCTAAAATCTGGCAATGGTGCAACATTTGGTGGATTATAAGCTTTACCTTCCAATTTCTTGCACACAAAACATTTTGACAATAACTTTTTTACGAACTGCCTCCCTTTTGTCACCCAAAATCGTGTTCTCAATTCAGCTAAAGTGGCATTTACCTGACAATGGTGTACTTTCTCATGACAGTCTAGAATTATAAGTTCCGTAAACCTACAACATTTTGGCAAAATAATGGGATTTTTAGTGCTTATCTCCAACTGTGAAAACTCCATCCTACCCTTACAAACAAGAATACCACCCTCATCTACTATACCCAGTTGATTTTTATATTTCTGATAGTCAGAATTGCTTTGTAAGGTCTTTTGGGCACTTTTAATCCACTCCATCTCAGCTTTCTCTATATCATCTACCTCTAACCTTCCAACATTTACTTCCTTCTTAGCCAATCTATTTTTCAAGTTGCTGATGAACCTTTGAACATAAGCTGTTACTCTTAAGAGCTTACCTAGTTTACTATACTTGTTTATTTCAATTACTTCTTCAATTCCGATTGGCTCTTCCACTACTGTCATTACAACTACTTCTTTCTTTCGTTCCTCTTTTGCTTCAATAGGCTCCTCAACAAGTACATTACTTGGCACACTTCCTTTACTTTCAGATAACCATAAGGGTCCTTCCCACCAAAGTCTGCTTTGATTTAAATTGCTAATAGAAACACCCCTTGAACCTATATCTGCAGGGTTCTCTAATCCTACCACATGGCTCCATTGATCTTTTCTAGTTAACTTAAGGATCTCGTCAACCCTGTGCTGGACAAATGTCTTCCACTCACCCTTATTCTGGATCCAATAGAGAACTGTCATACTGTCAGTCCAGTATCTTATTTCATCTATCTTAGTTTGTAAACTTAGCGCATTAATAACCGAATCCATAAGTGTTGTTAAGATTTTTGCTGCCATGAGCTCTAATCTAGGGATAGACAAACCCTTTAGAGGTGCAACCCTAGTCTTGGAACATATCAACCTGCTAAAAACACCCCTAGAAGTTTCGACAACAATGTATATGGCTGCACAATATGCTTTCCCACTGGCATCACCAAATCCGTGTAAACTAGTTTTAATAATCTCTCCTTCCACACCACTCTGTAAACATCTAGGGGCTGTCACTATCTTAAACTTTCTCAAGGACTGTATCCACTCTTCCCACCTACTTAATTTTTCTTGAGGTAATGAGTCATCCCATCCTAAATTCATCAAACATAAATCTTGAAATAGGATCTTGGCTACTACAGCTACTGGGCTTAACAGGCCTAAAGGATCAAACAAAGTAGCTAAAGTACTCAGAATACCTCGCTTTGTTGGGACAATCTTATCATTATCTTCCCCTATCTTACTGAAATTGAATTCTAACAAATCTTCCTTGCTATCCCATGCTAAACCTAGTACTTTCTTCTTAGTTTCCTGAATAGAAATGGAATCTGCTTTCTCCTGGTGAATCCCCACACTAGATTTACTTGATTGGCCCTCATTCTCACTTTCTAGTACTTTCTTAGATAACGTTTCGTCATTTGTCTTCCATTTCCTAAGTTTAAATCCGCCATTGCTCATACGCAGTTTAGCCTTCTCATACAAAGAAAAAGCCTCATTAGGATCCTTACAAGATGTCACTAAGTCATCTACGAAGAATGATTTGGTTAAACAATCAACAAATTGTGGATCTTCTTCCTTATACTTATCAAGATGGTTTCTGATAACAGCATTAAGCAAAAAAGGAGATGAATTTACTCCAAACACAACCCTGTTGAATCGGTATGTTACAATCTCTGGGTTATCTACATTTACATCCTTTACCCAAAGAAAACGCAGGCAATCACGATCTCTTCTGTGCACTTCAATATTTAAAAATGCTTTTTCAATGTCACCTACCAAAACTACAGGATGCTCACGAAATCTTATCAGAATGTCAAACATAAGAGGATTTAAAGCTGGGCCTACATGTAGGCAATCGTTCAAAGAGGTTTTAGTTGACCTGTCTTTACACGAAGCATCATAAACAACCCTGACCTTAGTGGTCTCTGCCTCTTCACGTATAACAGGTTGATGAGGCAAATAGGATACCTTAGTAGCAACATCATCCTTAGTTACTTCTGAAATAATACCTGATTCTAATTGCTCTTTAATTACGGCATCATACTGCATTAAAATATCAGGTGTCTGGTGTAGTTTTCTTAACTGGTTTTTCAACCTTATTAATGCACTATTATAATTCAATGGTATAGGTCCATGCTCTGCCTTCCAGGGCAAACCTACTGAGTACCGTTGACCATTAAATGATACATCATCAATAACCTTTTGATGAACATCTTCATCAACACGAATACCTAAAGTTTCCAAGTCCCAAAGCTTATGTAAATCCTTGTTCAAACTTTGCATATCCTTTCTACTTATGGGATTTGGATCAAGAGTAAGAGCAACAAATTCACCAGAGCAATGATAAGGATTCTTACCTTTTACTGGTCCTGACAAAACATAACCAAGTACAGTCTTAATTGCAACTGGATCCTGCTGCCCCCCTCGTATAACTTGCCCTTCATGGAAACTCCAAAGATAGTTAGCACCAATCAATATGTCTATCTCTAACAAGTCTTCTGACCTGGAAACATCAGAGAAATATATATCACACAAATGTTGATAATTCTTCTTTATCTCTTCTACATGGACATTAGAAATTGTAGAAATTTCATCAACAAGAAAAGCTTCTACAGTTACACTCTTACCATTGTGTAAAGGCTCTAATTCCAACTCATAAACTTCTCTCATTTTTACCTCTGGCTCACTCTTACCAAACGTCTTGATTCCCAAGCTTTCCTCTCTCAGTGGCTTCAAAGCTAACCTATCGACAGCTTTAGCAGATATGAATGTTTTCTGGCTACCTGTATCAAATAAAACTCGCATTCTGCTCTCTCTTCTACCTTTTACTCTTGCTAACGCTGTCTGTAAAGCCACTCTCTCGTCGGGGGCTGAGGTGGAACTCTCCGTGCTGCCAACCCAAGTAGTAGCATTTGGATTGAGAGCTGCAGCGCTTGCATCGCTAGATTGCATCTTAACCTTATTATCGCTAGCAAGACTATTAGGTTTAACCTTGCAAATCAAATGATTATGTTTACCATTACAATATCTACAGGTTTGCTTGCTACGGCAATCGAATGATCTATGCCCTTTATTAAGACATAAAAAACATCTTGCGAATTTAAAAAGGATATTCTTCCGCTCTGCTACAGTTGTAAATTTAGAGCAGTCCTCCGGCAAATGATTCCCTAAGCAGAACTGACAGATATTCTTCTGGTCCCTCTCCTTCCCAGCGAAAAGAGCACTCGTTGTTGCTGTCTTCTCGCTTTGTCTCCCAGAGCTAGGCCGTTGTTGGTTCTGCGCTGTTTGCGGTTGATAATTCATCCTCAGCATCGGTGTGTGGATCTCTCGAATTTCCAATTCTTTCGCCAAGGCTTTCAACAATTCATCTAAATTCCAGTTTAGGTAGTCTCCTCCAAACCGTATCATATTGATTCTGATGGCCTCCGGAATCTTCTCCATAACCACAGGCACAACAACACTCGAGTAAGAGTCCTTATCTGCGCCGAGAGCCTCCAGTCCACGGAAATGTGTCTCAATATCGTCATAAAGATGACGAAGCCTAACAATGTTTCTTTCGTTGAATACTGGCGGTAGATTCATTATATCGTTGATATGAGCCCTCTTGATCTGCATTGGTTTAGCATATCTATTCGACAATATCTCCACTGCAGAGTCATAGTTGTCATCTGTTAACGCCAGGCCCGAAATGACACGTCGAACAGGCTCTTCCAAAAATGATCGCAAATATTTAAATTTATCCACTTTTGCAAGACCGGGATCAGTGTGGACTGCGCTGTTGAATGAGTCCCAGAACTCATTCCACTCTTGTAACTTCCCATTAAATTTCCGAAGTTCCAGTTTCGGGAGTTTCACCCTAACGGCTGTGGTAAAACTTCGATGCGACTCAGAAATCGACGAATTTGATTTCAAACTCTCTGCTACACTCTCCTGCGAAGTACTCCTCTTCATTCCAATACTTTCCAAAGCTTCCTCCAGGCAAATAAGATTGAATCTGATTTTTTCTTGAATTTCGTTCGCTTCGGCTGCTTCATTCTCGCAGGTATCGTCGTCCGCGTCAACATCGATCAATCCGTCCAAAATTGTGCCATCAATTTCTTTTAAACATTCTGCTTTTTCTTTCAAATCTGCCTGAAACTGTTTTAACTTTCTACAATCTATTTCAATACGATCTTGTTCCAAGCTTTCTTCAATCTTTGTCAACAACTTTGTGACCAATCCACGCGTCGTTCTCCGTTTCTTCCGCGCACGTTCAACATTCTCCATTTCTTCTTATATCACTATCCGGCTCGGTGGACCACTTATATTGAGGAATGCACATATCCTCACTTTCATTTGATTCTTAGCGATATAAGATAGTAGATATTCACGCAGAGAAAAACGAATTGCGTAATTTCCATTCTTTGATAACTGTAACCCTCTAAAACTAAAAAGCAACTTTCCAACAACTTACTCAAACATATCGTTGAAAACTAATTAAACGAACGAACACACCCAAGATTATAAATTAACCAATCAAAATTAAGATAATGTTAATGCGTTAAGATTAATTATACATCTACAGTTTAAGATCGCACATTAGCTCAGCAACAATTCAACTAGATTTCAATACAAATGCTAAAGGGAAATATAACGTGTCATTAGTGCATAAAACAATGTAATGTGACCGTGGGATGATTTTTCCCTCGCAGCGCATGCTTTGCAACAAAAAGAATTACAACATGCATCTGTTCCAGAAATCGGCATTGTGATGCTAAAACGCAACTATTCAGCCATATTCTTTCGTTTGGGACATTTAAGGAATAATCATCGTAAACCAATGGCTGATCCACCATATCCCTTATAACATGTCCCAAAATGGTTCAAAATGCAAGCAATGCATGATTAGGGAGATGAGCCAACACCGACCTCGAGCGTGCATCCGTGATTAGCAGCGGATTTAGGCCTTTGTGCTCACTGAAGCATAGAAGCAAACGAAGCAACTGATACGTTATGTCTTGAACTCATTCTATTTTCATAAATCTCTACAAAATTCGGACAACACAACAAAAGTAAATTAATTCTGCTAAAAACGAAGCGCTTCTGCATATTTACA